TCCACGGAACTGAGGTGTTAGCAGTTGAGTGGTACATATTATATTTATGTAGAATACATTCTGCTCCCAACAGTGGCAGTGATTTGGAGCCATATTTGGTGGTTTAACTAATACTCGAAAGTAGAAACACAATACAAGTTTTAGAGATTAAGTCAACAAAGCTCTTTAGTATGAAAAATTAATGCTGTGACCTTAGTATGAAAATAAACAGTTAGCAGAAAAATAAACAGTTACCATATTTGCTGATATATTAGAAACATAGCAGCAGCAATAGACGACTTGTTATGAGCAGCTAAATGTATTAAATTTATTGGTATGTTAGCCTTTTGGTTTTGGAGAGGAAGGGTTTCCTCTTGGAGGAGGGAGGCCACAGGGCTATCTGTTTCTCTGTCTTACAAACATGTTCCTTTTATTCTTCAGGCAAATACAGTAATACCAACTCTGCTGAATGGTTTTAAATTGACATAGGGTTTCCAGAGCAAGACAAAAATGTATGTGGTGTCTGGATTCAGTCCAAAGCATCTTTACTTCTGAACTGGCTTAGGCCAGAGAGACAGGATGTTCCACAGAGCAAAAACCATGTGATTAAAGAACATGAACAAACACAGAGTATATTATTAACAAAACACCAGACTGCATTTCATGTTGGATTTTCTGGCTGGTGACCCATGGAGTTGACTCAAAAAGTTAACAGAGAGACAAAGGTCCAGTCTGTTCTAACATAACTAATAATCACAAAAGATTCTCTGAAGCCTTCTCTCCTGTCTTAAAGAGCCGTTCACACAGGTCCTGACAGAGGTATAAATACATCCCAGTGAGACTCTGTGCTCAGAAATATGTCCTGAGAGAGTGTTACAGCATCTGCTGCAGAAGGGTTTTATCTTGATTCACCATTCTGTATGTGTCTAGAAATTAGGCTCCCTCTTGCCTGCAGGCTCATCATGCTGTCAACAGTATCTTCATTTCTCCCTTGTGTTCTGACTCACACGCCTGTCAGTGCCATCCTGTCTGTCCTACTTTGTGGCCTCTTCCATTTTCAGGATGTGGCTGAATCCTCCACATCCTGATCAGCAGCTGTCTAGGCCACGATCTGTGTGGGCAGGCTTTGAGTCACTCTGTTTTGTGGTGAGGATGCATGTAATTGAGGCATGAGGTGAAGGGTGTATGGTGTTTGAAGACTTGTGGGGCACTTGAATAGCAGCTGACAAAAAATTTTGATCATAAGCAGGTAGATAAGATGGAGTAGTCTTGGCTGGTCATGTCTGCCCTTACAGAAGACAATTGAAATAAAATTAATATTTTTTTGCAGTTGTTGGTAGTGTTGGGAGGTTTTGCTCCTTAGCATTTGCATGCCTTTGACCCCAGAGCCTGGAGAGATCCATGATTCTTCGCAGTGTAAGTATTTCACTTGCTGTATTTTCCTGAAGAATCAAAGAAACCTGTTTATAAGAAGTAGAAACAGATAGCCCTGTGCCCTCTCTCCCCAAGAGGAAATGCTTCACTCTCCCAAAGTTTCTTCAGGAAATTCAGGCAGTGTTGGAGTGGCTGTCTCCCATCCTGTCCACATTGGTGCCTTTTCCTGGGAGGCTGCACTTCTACTCTCCTCTGCTAGCAAAGGGCTGAGGTGCCCGTGAGCGTGTGTGAATCCTGGGGGTGTTTTACAAGACCTGCATTCTGCTCTCTGGACAGTGTGTGGATCCCGGGAAAGGGCACATCAGGCCCATTTCCATTCACATTTCACAGAAGGTTACTTTATTACAAATGAATAGGTATTTGGGGTCTTCCTTCTCAAGGTTACACAAATACTATAATTATTTCCATTGGTATTTAACACTTTTAACCAAATGCAGAGCTGTAGCTGCAGTTTAATTCCTCTTTAGCGTTCCAGGCACAATATATTAAACATGCATTTTAGCCAGGGGGGAAAGGAGCTGTGGAAGCGGTGGGTGTTAGATCCCTGACAGGCAAGGCGCTGCTGTTGAAGATGACAGCTTTTCCTGTAGTGCCCAGAGCATCTCCGAGGAGCTCTCTCCTCCCTCGCAGAGAGGACAGCTGCCTTCCCACCGCATCCCCGCTGTTAGTCAGCAGATGCCCTCCGCTTTTCCGGATCCAGAGCAGAAGACATTGTTAAAGCGCTTCCTCGCTCTGCTTTGTTAAGTAATTCTTGGTTGTTAGTGCTGAAAGGGAGATTTTCCCGCGGCGCTCCGGGCAGGAGATCGCTTTGAAAGCAAGGAGGGCTCTGTGGAGCAGCACGTCCCAGGGTTCCGGGGGTGGCCCGGGGTGCGAGCCTGAGTCACAAAGCGGCGGAACCGGGAGGGCCGGGCCGGCAGCGCCGCCGCTGCCTGAGTCACCCCGGCCCAGCGGGGCAGCGGGGGCCGCTGCAGCCTGCAGGGAGCGAACGCTCCCGGCGGCACTCGGCTCCGGCAGCGGGGCCTGCCTCCAGCAGCCTCGGGGTCAGCAATGGGGGACCAGCAGGACCAGCGGGGTCCCCTGCACTGAGGAGGCCGCGCCTCGAGTGCCGGGTCCGGGTCTGGGCCCACAATCCAGGGTGGATGTTGAGGGCCTGGAGCGTGTCCAGAGAAGGGCAACAAGGCTGGTGAGGGGTCTGGGACACAAGTCCTGTGAGGAGGGCTGAGGGAGCTGGGGTTGTTGAGCCTGGAGAGGAGGAGGCTCAGCACAGCCCTCATCACTCCCCACAGAGCTGGGGTTGTTGAGCCTGGAGAAGGCTCAGCACAGCCCTCATCACTCCCCACAGAGCTGGGGTTGTTGAGCCTGGAGAGGAGGAGGCTCAGGGCAGCCCTCATCACTCCCCACAGAGCTGGGGTTGTTTATCCTGGAGAGGAGGAGGCTCAGCACAGCCCTCATCGCTCCCACAGAGCTGGGGTTGTTGAGCCTGGAGGAGGCTCAGCGCAGCCCTCATCGCTCCCCACAGCTCCCTGCGAGGAGGGTGCAGCCAGGGGGGATCAGGAAGAAGAGGACACAGCCTTAAGCTGTTCCAGGAGAGGTTTAGGAAGAAGTTCTTCACAAAGGGTGGTCAGGTGTTGCAATGAGCTGCCCAGGGAAGTGGAGTCACCATCCCTGGAGGTGTTTAGGAAAGGCTGGATGTGGCACTCAGTGCCATGGCCTGGGTGCCAAGGAGGTGCTGGGTCATGGGTTGGACCTGATCTCCAGGTCTTTTCCAATTGTTTCTGTGATTGTCTCTCTGAGAAACAATATTCAGTTGCAGGTAATTGGTAGTGCTTTGGTTTCCCGTGGCTTTCTGCCTATTCATTTGTGTTGGGTCTGCACAACTGCTTTATAAACGTGGAAATGTGCTTGGAAGCTGATGAGCTTCCAATGCAAAATAAAACCTACAGTGCTTGTAGATCTCACACACTGGAACTGTGGGGCTTTCTGTGAAGCTCTGGTTCAGGTTTGCATGTAATAGTGAAATTAAAACTTGGCACTACTTTCAGGCTCATTTAGAGAAATTGTCCCTAGGTTATGTAACAATTAAAGGACCAAATTATCCTTCAGTGCTTGCATTCTTCAAAAAAAGGCAAATATTTTAGAATCCTGTAGCAGTCAAGAGGTACCAGTGAAGTCAGCTGGCCTAGAAATTATTTCATGTGTCCTTGGTATGAAAATGCATTGAAGTTTCACAACAAAAAGGCAAACATAACTTACTGTGACCTGTTTTCTAGCCTTGGGACAAGATTAAATTTGAACTGGTGACAGGTATCAGAGTATTTGCTTAAGCAAACAGAGTAAAAGTTAAGTCTTTTGGAATGTTCAGTCACCCATTTCTGCATGATTTGCATGATAAAATCTCAAAGAATGGAATAGAAACACTTTTCATATGTAAAGTAACAATCATCAAGTTCTTCCAGAATGTTCTATCTTCATACTGAAATGTTCTGCAGATTTTTTCCGTAAGTTAGGTGGAGTAAAAAGGCAAATTTATCATCTTAAAGGCAGTTTTCTGATGGTATCCCAAACATATTAAGCTACAATTGCATTTCCTTAATCCAAACATTTTGAAAGTAAAATTGCTTTTAGTTGAAGTTCTGTCACTACTGATGCCATAATATTTTGTTTACTAGCAGAGCAGTTCTAGTCAGAGGCCACAAGTAACATTTTTTTGGGTCTTTTTGTCTCTCCTTGCAAATCCTTTCAATTTCTTAGCGACACTTAAACTTATTCCTGTTTTTAAATAAATTTTTCATGTGTAGACTTCGAGTTATTTTTAGCTATTTCTTGGCTATTGTCTCCAAATACTTAAGAGAGGTCTTAGTCCTGGATTGTCCTGTTTGTGCTTTTAAAGATTAGTTTTTCTCTCTGACTTATGAAGCTTCCTTATTTTTCAATGACTTGCAGATAATGAGCCTTGGCAATGAGATCTTCAGATGTCTTGTAGAGCTCCAGGATGCTGATTCAGTAATATCCCACTTCTAGTACTACTTTTTAAATGTCACTCTGAGTTTGTTTTAAGCTATGACATGATATGCATCATATCTGGCATTCCAAAAAAGCAATAACTCTGAGAAATACCTACCTTTTCTGTATTACTGTTGGGAGATTTTACCCTATGAATGTCATAATGGACAATCTGATTATTACAGACATTTTCATAGATAGATGCATTTGTTTTTGTACTAATATACACTTTTGATTGTCTTTGTCTGCTGGAAAGTAGGTTGTTTTGGTTTGGGTTTCCTTTCCAGTTCCCCACTGCCTCTTACTTCTGTTATCTGTTTCCCAAGCTGGTTACGTATAGTTGCTGCTATTTTTAGCTTCTTTCTGGCTTTCATTAATCTTGAATTTCCAAGATTGTCATTATGACATTTGGGATAAATGTTTTCTAATTAAATTCACCTCTTTTGAACTGCCCTGATTTAAAGGATCTATCTAAGAAAAGGCATATTCTAAATATAATGTCATTGCTAAAGATGCACCTTTTCCTGACACAGATATAGTCAGCAGCTCGAGGTTTGGCTACAAACCTACTTAGTTTCTTGTTTTTCAGGTCAAAGTAACATCCAGTCAGGCTTTGCATGGCATGAGGCAGAAACAGGATTTTCTAGCGTGGTGAGTACTTGTAGAATCAACAGGCTGATGATTTCTAATGACCAAGAATTCAGGAGACACTGCATCCTAAATATGAGCAGAAGGGGGTCAGTAATCTGCCAAGTAAATTCTGTTTCACCCCTACATGTTTGAGAGTGGCTTCAGGGAGGAATTTAGGAAAGGCTCATTGTGGAATGACTTCATGTGAGCTCTCATGAGGATGGAAAGGAGCACTACCAGGGGGAAGTTCACAAATGGAGGTTGAAGGAGCTGTTTAAAATTATAATATGGGTAGGGATTTAATGATGATGATCATGAGAAGACCTTAAGGGATCATGTAGCAGAGGAGGTTTTTCCCTTTAGTACTCACTGATTTCAATTGTAAGCTCTTCTCTCTGTCATTACTTTGTTCAATGTAAACTTTTCCACCCTCTTTGTGTTTTTGGGGTTTTTTTCTTCCAGAGAAGACAGACCAGAAGTGTCTCTTTGACTAGGTTTTACTTTGCTGCTTTTCCAGCCCATTGTCATTCTTTTTTCCAGGAATAGCTAGGAAACATCTTACAAGGTCACAGAGTTCCTCTATGTTATCTCCTTGGCCCAAGGCAGGATGTAATAATATTAACATGCTCTCAAGCATCCTGGCAGACAATCTTAAAAGTCTCCAGGAATACAGACTCTCCTCTGTCCCTAAGCAATTTAAGATTATTTTAATAGAATTTTTTACCCACTAACATATAAATGAGAAATAATATAAATAAATAATCTAACATGATTCCATAAATTGTACAGGGGCACTCAGGTTTTGACATGAACAGCAGAGACACAGGTTTATGAACTTGACTGCTGTATTTATGAAAGAAGGAATGATTAAATCATGTGTAGTTTGCTGCAATAATTGTTCCAGGCATGTTCCTTGGAACCAAAGCCCTCTGAGATGTGGTCTGCTGATGGACAGGAGTTACATCCACAGGCCCTCAGTCAGTCCCACTCTGCCCCAGGATGGTCAGTAAGTGCCACTTTAGTGGCATCCCTTCCACTGGCTTCTTGGGTAAAGAAAAACAAGAGTATAATGTTCAGTGATGCAGCAGATGTTTCAAAGTCCTCCTCAAGGAGGAGATGACCCTGCTGCCTAAATTAGGCATATTATGGAGTTTCAGAAATGCAAAATGTCCAAGCTAGGTTTGAATTGGCTAAGAAAGGTTTGGATTTAAACCATGTTGGCAAGGCCTATGATACTGGCAAGGCCTATGATACTGGCTTTACCAGAGTTTTATGGTCTTTTATTTGTCTGGTGCCTGTTCTGTCCCTAAAACACAAGGAAGAAGGAGCAGAGCAGGAAAGAAAATACAATTGGATGATGCATTTGGTTTGCTGTAGAGGAATCATTTACCTTTGCATTGCTTACTTGCCTCCTGTCTGGGTTACCATGACCTGCAAGGGAACATTCCTCTTCCACAGCCAAGGCATTCAGGCAGAGTTAATTGAGCAATTAAATTATCAGGTGATGGAAATAAAAAATCTCATCCACATAGAAGGGTTTAGCAATCTGGCTCCTTTCAGTTTCTGACTTACTATTATGTAATGTGTGTGTTCTACCCAGGTGCACTCTGTGCAGAACAAAGAGGGAAGCAGCTGTTCTGGCTTAAGCTTTAGAGGAGATGACATCCATGACATCCATGACTTCTGCCAACCTACCACAGAAAAAGGTGACACTTGGGGTTTTTGAGGAGACACTGTGATTGTGGACAGTCCATTTAACAGAACCTCCCTTCCCAACTCATCCTTTCTGTGTAGTCTCCAATCAGGAGTTTGTAGCAGTGGCTGAGAGAACAAACATATAATAAACCCTTTCTTTCCAGCTGGGTGTGTTGCACCTGTATCTGTGAAGGGGTGAGAAAAGTTAGACAGTGCTGGAGGGTTTATACAGAATTGCAAATGGAATCAAATTCCATTTTGGAGAAGAGTAACAGAGATAATGATTGTCTTAATGAAGATCCATTTGGTGTGTCAAGTAGAAGCAATCTAAAATTGCATCTGTTTTCTGAGAATATTGATGTGACATTTGGCTTTGCCAGCTGTCCAGCTTGGCAATTCTGGGAGTGATACATGTAATAAAAGCACATCAGAATTCTAGATCCTACTTCCTTTGCAGAGCTACCAGTACACAGATTGTTGTTTTAGCTACAAAATTTATAATGGTACAAACCACACTGGTCCACAGTGTCTACATGTTTCTGCCCTTTTGAAATTCTCAAGGGAAATTAATTCTGAGGAGAGATCCTGACTCTGTATTGTCCAGTATGCTTTAAATCTGAGGGAGAGACTAGCCCTGGTCATCTCTTCTGTTGAGGAAAATGTGTGCACAAAGTTCCCAAGACCAATATTATGTTAAGACTGTGTGCTCCTGTATCTGAGAACTGGCTCTCTAGGTTTTATTTTCGGTATGATCCAGGGAAAGTAAAGGGTATGGCCTGACTGTGATTCCTGGACTAGATTTGGTGGCAGTGTTTCTCTTTAGGTGAGTGGGTGGCTTGAGAAGCTATGCAAAAGTTGCAGCAAGACACTTTTATCAAACATGTTTGTCCTATCCAACTTGCCCAGAGACAAAATAGTGACAAAAGTCTACTTGTATAAATATACTAATTTTCATCTCTGTCCTTCAACTGTGAAATCTGATCTCTGGAACTCTCAGTGAAGACATCAACTTGATACTTGCAATGTAAATGAACCTATATTCTAGTATCTTTGGATGATCACTTTATCTTTGATCAGTAAGTTCTCCCATTTTATTGCCTCTTTGTAACCTGATCACTTAAGCAAGTCTCCTGGTGCACTTGGATTTTTGATTAAAAAAACAGCTGTGGGAGGTTGGAAGCATTTTCCCCCTGTGCATGGGAAGGCTGTCAGCCTCTTGGCCAATGTGAAAATGAGAGCCAAGGGAATATGGTCTGTTTGAAGGAATTGGCTTGAGGTTATCATGTCCTCTCTCACCATAACTCTTGAGAAGGAGATTTTCTTGCCTTTGCAAGAGATGGTAACTTGGTTTGGTGTGGAGTGGATGTGATCTAACTCTGTCCCTGCTGTCTTTAAGAAAGGATTGTTTGGACAGGTTCTCATCCTTATGGCTGCAAGGGACCAGTTCTCTCATGGGCTGAGCTCTCACAGAGCACAAGCATCTTCCATCCTTGTTCTCTCTTCCTGTTTGACTAACACACGACTCCAGAGACCTGTGCATGTCTACTGCTTCCCTTGATAGCTTATTGCATCAGTTGATCTTTTCTAGCTCTGAAAAACATTTTACTTGTAACTTCAATTTGTTTAGCTTTAATTTTCTGCCCTAGGTTGAACCAGCTGCTTTAGAAGCTCTTGCTGTGTGTCTCATGCAGGAATACAACAGAAAAAATTCTTTAATTAGATTATTGCAAAATATTTTTCAGCTCTTAAGTAATTTCTGCCATTCTCCACCATTTCTCAATCGTATTTTTCATTTTTTTACCCTGGAGTTTGACTCAGGCTGCAGTGTCATTTTCATCTGTTCCTAGAAGGAAAAATACTTCCTGCTGGTTAAGGTATTCCAGGCTGCAATCAGAGCCTTCATGTAGCTCAGCCTCAGAAGAGAGGAACCAATTGCTCATTTACCATGTTCAATCTTCAGACATAAAACTGACCTAGAAGTGGCATTAAACTTTCATATAAAATCAAACCCAGGAATTCTCAGCAAGCTCTGCTAGTCCTACAGGCAAAAGGATTATAATTTTACTGACAAACTGAGTAACTGTGTACCTGCAAAAATCATTTGTTCCTCATGGGAGAGAGAAAAAAAAGGGTAGGCAAGTCAAACTAACAGCAAACCTGTTTTTATTATACCAGGTGGGAGATCAATTATATTATTTTGACCTCCAATTTTGTATATAGAAGTCATGGCTCTTGTTGGAGAGACCAATTAATATATCAGAGTATCAGGCTTAATACAGAAATACCATCCAAAGAGTGTCCAGGTCACCTTTGCTGCTGTTTGTTTGCTGTAGCAGATAGTTAATCTCTTTGCTACCTGTTCTATTTCTCTTGCTCAAGAGCATTAGCAAATGTTTATTTGACAGAATGTTCTGTTCCTCTCCTATTTTTTTTTAACCTCCTTTGTCCTAAGAGAATTAAGGCAAATCCTAGAGCAACTCCATGGAATGGAAACATCATGCTGCAAGCTGGACTCTATAGTCAGAGCAATTTTGTTACTGCTGGTGGGGAAAGAGTAGAAAACAATGGGCTGCCAAACAGGGAAAGGGCCTTTAACTAAAGGTAAGAAATCAGAAGAGAGGAGATGTTAACAGCACTCAGACTCACCTGAAAACACTCAGCAAATTGCGTGGCAAGGTGAATAGGTTATTTACAGCAGCAGAAGGCAGATTTGTGAGCAGCAGCAGCCACTGTCCACTGCTGGGAACAGCACTGCTGCCTGATCTGCCATGGATGCCCTCCTGTTGTTTTGGTGGCAGGCTGGGCTTGAAGGATCTCACTCAAAAACATCCAAAGCCCCCAGTGTTAGTCCCAGAGGCATTGCTTTCCAGTAGACCAATTAATTCATTTTCTTTTAATGCTGTTCACTCAATGTGCACTGGAAGTCTGGCACATGTTACAAATCCCTATCATTCTTCTATGTACATATGATGCCAAGCAAGTGGCAGCTGCCAGTGCTGGTTAACACTTGAAAATGACAGAAATCCTGGTTGCTGCTGGCAGAAGGGGAGTGGGAAATAATAGGCTGGCAAATGACAGGCTAGCAAATGACTTTCAGAAACATTTATGTGATACATGGTTAGTGCTAGAATGCCACTGTCAGAGGTGGACATTTAGAAGGGAAACAAAATAATGATAAGGTGTTAAACCCCCTCATCTCTTTCACTGTGCTCCAGGAAAAGGTAAATTTTACTCATGACCCAACAAATGTTCTCAGATTAGTTCCCACTGGACAATTTGCTGAGCCATATACTCTTGTCCAGTCAGAATGCCCCTGCTTGTTTCTG